AGTGGTGAAACATGATCCTGGCCATCTGAAGTCTCGGATTTTGGAGTATCTGCTGGGGGGAACTTCGGTCGATTATCCACAATTCCAGTCGGTTGCGAGACTTTGGGGGGTAAAGGAAAGAGAGGACTCCGGGTTCGTTTCAAACGTGGCATGCGGAATCGCTTTGCGGTAGTGGCACTTTGACCATCACGAGGGGAAATGCTTCGGGTGACTGTCTGATCACCGTAGCTCTGGTCTGATCGAGACGACTCGGAAAACCGGGGATCAATCACCGACGAGCGCTGAGAGTCGCTGGCCTGTGGGTTCCCGCCCCGAAGTGAGTTGGTTGACAAGCGCCCGGGCTCTTCGGTAATACTCTGGGACATGGCAAGTGTCGAGTCGGTAACCTGGGAGTCGGTTGATCCCTGTCCCCTTCTACGGGGCTTCGCGGGCTGTTCCATTGATTTCCGAGACATTTCCTCCATGGACTGTTTTCGTGACGATGGTCGAAAGCTGAGCCTGGGTCTTTGTTTCACGGGCTGGTCGAGCTCGTGACTGGTCGGGGCGGTAGTAATAATTTTGGGAGCTTTATCCGGTAGACACAGTTAGTTAATCCATCCTACTGAGCGTTGGGGGTTGTCAATGTTTCACTTACGAGGCAAGGAAGGGACCGGGGGAGTATCCTGGCCCGCCTTGACGTAAGACTTGGATAGTTGGGGGTCAGATGCATGGCGAAGTCTCATGAAGCTGAATCGCTTGTGGCGCAAGCTGGGACGGTCCGAGGATTGTCCTGCAAAGTCCGGTTGAGCTACCCCATGGTCTGGCCTGTTGTCGTCTGGTGCCTGAAGTCCTAGATTCACTTCTGATAAGCCGGACAAGCGAGGAATTGACTCGGATAGTCTAGGTTCGACGGGGGGATAGGGACGAGGAAGGTGTTCACTGCGACGGGATTGGCCTTGAGGCTCCATGGTGCTCTGCCTCTTGCCATCCACGAGACGCAGTCCTTTCCAATGCATGGTGAAGGACGAGCGTTAGGACCAAGCTAATAATCCCCATGAAATGTAACACGTTAGATGGGAATTGAAATAGAAACGGAGGACATTGCCCAGGTGGATCCAGACGCGGTGGGATCTGGAGGTCAGCCCTCGCAAAAAGGGGAATGCCGGAAAGGGAAACGTTCTAGATTTCTTGTTTCTGCCGCCACGCGTATTTCCCTTTTTGTTTAGATCACACACAAAAATAGATAGAATCAAAAGATAGAAGAGAAGGGAATTAAAAAGCTAGAGGGGCAAGGCAGACGAGTTCGAATCTAGGTCTGAGCGTCGGGTAATTGACCGGGTTTAAGTATACAGATGGAAAGGATTGATTTTGACGTTCTATTATATATGTATAGATAGTTAGTTTCTATTTAAATTGTACAGATCATATAGACTAAATAGATGTTTAAATAATAGTCAAATTAGTATATTTATAGCATAATGTTGGAGTATACGGAGTACACCGAGTGTACTGAATGGCCACTGACGTAGAACAAAAATAGCGAATGCATGTCATCTACTTTTCTCACGTCAATGGAGAATTTTCTTTTGCCTTCGACTCCAACTTTTTGATGTCACATTTAACTTGATTGCACATGTGGACTATATCTGCGTTATCTCCCCCGCCTTTCTCTTCTCCGCATCCGAACACTCTCGATATCCCTAACTTCCGAGGTCTGACTGAAGACACCTCACTCACCTCCCTTCAAAACTGGTTACTGTGACTCGGCATGCGTCTTTTTTCTCCCATATTGGTCGCGTCGACCTTGATCCCTCTAATCTCCGCCGTCCCCGCTGGTTCAAGCATCACCCCACCGCCACCCTTGCAGCCTTCCCATTACACTCATTCCAACCCACGCCCATGGGCTCGACTCCGCGATTGGGTAATTGGCTCGATATGGGATATTGATCACAAACACTGCTCTTCAAAACATTCGTCGCCGCCGTCCAATATTCACGATCGGTATGGCAGTGATGTCGTCCTGCGTTTTCATTTGAGCCAGGCGGACGAGGCAGAAGCATTGGCTTCCGCCTCGCAGGTGCTGTTTTTGGACATTTGGGCCATAACCTCGAAATTCGTAGATATCAGACTTGCAGATGATATGGTGAGCTTTCTTCTAAATACTTTACGATCATCTCACTAATTATTTCATTAGATCCCTTCCTTGCTGGACCTACTACCCTTAACACTCCGCAACTCCTACACTCCCCTCATGGACAATCTTGCCGACGAGATATACGCTTCATACCCCTCCCGTCACCGTAGCGACTCAGACTTTAGATCGGGAATTGCATCGTCTGAACTGAAGACCATATCGAATGGCGACCTATTCTTCCAAGAATACCAGCCGCTCTCCGTCATCACGCAATGGATGCGCTTGATGGCATCCATGTTCTCTTCGCACGTACGGATGACCAGCGTGGGAGTCTCCTACGAAGGTCGCGATATCCCAGCATTGCGACTCGGTACCTCTCACAGCACAGAAACCACATCGGATCCTCGCAAGACAATCGTCGTCGTCGGCGGTACTCACGCTAGGGAATGGATCAGTACCTCCACGGTAACATATGTCGCATACAGCCTCATCACCCATTACGGCTATTCACCCGCCGTGACACAGTTGCTGCACGAGTACGACTGGGTATTAATCCCAACCCTCAATCCCGACGGATACGTGTACTCATGGGAGTCAGACCGTCTGTGGCGCAAGAACCGCCAGCCAACGGGTCTTCCACTGTGCCCGGGCGTCGACCTGGATCGCGGCTGGGACTACGAGTGGGACGGCGAGTCGACTCGCTCGAACCCGTGTTCAGAAAACTACGCCGGCGCAGAGCCATTCGAAGCACTTGAATCGCAGCGTCTGGCGCAGTGGGCTCAAAATGAGACGGCGCATGGCCGCGCTGAGATCGTAGGCTTCGTCGACTTACACTCGTACTCCCAGCAGATTCTATACCCTTACTCATACTCCTGCTCGTCCGTGCCTCCCACCCTCGAGAGTCTCGAGGAGCTAGCGTTGGGCCTAGCCAAAGCCATCCGACAGACCTCCCATGAATCGTATGACGTTACCTCTGCGTGCGAGGGGATTCTGACTCGTGGTGCAGCTACTGGGATTACCTCGGGCGGCAGCGCGTTGGATTGGTTCTACCATAAGCTACACGCCAAGTTCTCTTATCAGGTCAAACTCCGTGACCGTGGTAGTTACGGATTCCTTTTGCCCTCCGAGCACATCGTTCCAACGGGAAAGGAGATTTTCCATGCTCTGTTGACGTTCGGCAAGTTTGTCTGGGGTGAGGAGGCCTCGGATATCAGCTTTGAGGACTTGATGGGTGATCAGGTACCTCTGGCCGACAACCTGTAGGATTTGTCTTTTGATGATTGCATGTTGACTTTACGAGCGAATTTCCTCTTTAATTGCGGTACTTCTGGTGTTCCAGAGTCTTTGTACAGTATATTGGCTGTTTTAGCCTAAGAATGTAAAGAATGTAATTCAGACCTATTTCAATGTACCTGTAGCCTTGGATGTGACACGACTTTGAGAAAATAGCCACGTTGCTTATTTGTAGATTAGGAGACTAGGGCCAGAAGGCGATCTGCTATGTATGGATCTTTCGGGAAAGGCACCTAGGAGATGAAAGATAATGACCTCATCAAGACAAGGACCACAACCTCTGACCTGAGCTTTCTATCTAGTTCTGTAGCTCTGGAGGAAGCCCGATCTATGTGAGGATTTTTAGCCTTTTGCTGGTTGACTATCTTATTTATACTTGTCCTAACAGCATGGATAAACTCGGATCTTTCTTCATCCTCAAGAGAGAGGTAAGAAGTATAGTCTGGACCTGCCATTGCTCTCCTAGATCTGGCACCAGAGATGTTTGCGGGGTCGAATCCATCAAGAGAGACTATTTCATCGTCTCCAGATCCGATTTAAATGAACGGATTGGACAACAATAGTCTCTATCCGTTGTTTCGATGGTTATTTGTGCTAATATTGATAGACTGCGATTTGGATATATCGACCTTCACCTTATCTGGCAAGAGTCTTCTGGTATACCGACACCGCCTGTCTCGCTACCGATGAGACTCAAGGGTCTTCTTTGATCGAATGCCTTTTCCACCCCAATACGGCAACCTGCCCGGCTTCAAGTGGACGGGTCCAGATCCGCTGTCCATTTGTCCTTAGGCTAGCGGCATTTGGCTTTCTCCTGAAGAGGTTGACTGGATAGAGGTTCGGCTACACGGTTGGATCGGGACATCTGGCGAGACTGTAGGAGAGGATCTGTTCTTCCTGCCTTGGGTTGAAATGGCCGTAGAATCTCTTCCGGATGCAGACACCTATTAGACACAATCTCCCGGCATGCTGTTGGTGCAGCATGCACTAGCTTCAGATTGTCCCTATGACCTCGTCTGAAGCCTCTACCATATTCAAATGACTCGACTAACTATCCAAAGAAAACCATACGATCCTTGCAGAATCGCACCGATTCCTGTGACGGGTACATGACCAAACAGACACTTAAAGCAGCATCTTATTAGGGAGGTGAGTAACCCACTGCCCTGTTCTCGAAATTCCTTTTCGAACTCCTCGTTGAAATCCACAAGGCAAAAGCTGCAGAAAACCAAATATGTCCGAAACTTTTCGTTTCCGGACTTGTCGTGTCCCCGAATGTTCGGCTCCTGCTGCGATAGATGTTGGACTCTGCGAACGCTGTAAGCAGCAATTTTGCGCTGTTCATGCCATGTCTCCAACTCATTACTGCAAGGTACGCTGAGCCATGACTAGCTGCTACAAGGACGTTCTAATTTGACCCTAGAATGACCCTCTTGATGACGATGCATGAGGACTTGCACAAACAGAAGAAGTAACAGCATTTCGACGTATCATCAATGACGGGAGTCCTTTACGTCGAGCTTCAGAGCGTAATAAAGGTCTAACTTGTAAACTAGACTCTTCGAATCCTCTAGGAGAGAGGCGGATTGGGGGCATGCATATCCGTCTTCGAATCATTTTTAGCGATGGAACGGCCTGGCTTGCTCGGATACTCCGAACAAACTATACTTCATTCCCAGATGAGTGCAGCAATCTCTGCTTGAAGAGCGAATGCGCCACTTTGGAATGGCTTAAGGATATAAACGTGCCGTCGCCTAAACTCTTCGACTTCGGTCTACGCAATGACCCCGAGAATGATGTTGGCGTTCCGTATATGCTGATAGAGGAACTCCCTGGGACACCGTTGCTTTCCCTTAGCCCGTCAGAAGACCAACCGCAAAATATACAATAATTACGCCGAAATCTTATGTACTATAAATAAGTACCCTCTTGAGCAGATCGGTTGTCTCTATTTACAACCTAATAGTACTATCTGTACTGACCCTATACTGAGCGATCGGACTGGTACATTTTCTCAAATGGGACCCTTTTCGCAATGCACGAGAATACTACGCGACTTGGGCGGAGAGATATCTCGAATTAATCTACGACCGCCAGCTCTTCACTCGGTACTCCGTTAATGCATACCTGATATTCAGATACCTTAAAGAACTAGCGGAACAAAGGCCATTGGAATGCATTTGAAGCGAGCATTGATAATGGTCCATTCTTTTTGAAACACATGGATGATAAAGGTGACCATATACTGGTGGATGAGGATTATAATATCACCGGTATTATCGACTGGACGTTCGCTAGGCTGGTGCCAATCTATGAGGCATTTGGTCCCTCGCTGTTGACAGCAGAAATGAGTGATATATACGAGAGCAACGCTGGCCGATCCCGGGGCGACACGATGCTAGCTGAGGCTGTACAGACCAAGAGCAAGCATCTACATCTAGTTCGCTTTGCCGGCGGCCCGGATCTAGTCCGCCGCTTCTCCTTTGGCCTCGGAATGGGTATGGACATATCTTGGGACGAAGCAGTTGCTTTATTCCGAGGTATCATGTCTACAGCTGAAGGGAGCAGTTTGGAATTTGACTGGGATGTCTGGCGTCAAAATCGTCTATCTCAACGGGCTGATGATGCTAGGTTGCAAGCGCTTCTGCTCAAATTGGGAGAAATCTAAAATCTGGGTGAGCAGGGTAGCTGTGTTGGGCGCTTGGTACGATTACCCGTGGACTTTTATGCGGTAAAATGACCGGCCTCGTTTCTTGACACAAACAATTATGGAAAGCTACGTTCGTGGGCTTTCTTTTACAGAACCAGCGGCAAAAGAATCATAGACTGAAAATCATTCCTCGTAATCAAAATATTTAAAGTAAGACAAGAATTAACGGCCTGTCGATGGAGAAAACGACAGCACAAGCAGGGCTCAATTTCCACAGCAACAAGATATAGGTCTAGGACCCGCATCAGAAAAGCCAGGAGACGAAAGTCCGGTAGAACCAGCTTGCATTGTTGTTCTTCTCTGCCTCAGCCTCCTTCCTGGCGAGATACAGCGCCTCCTCGCGATCAATCTCGTCCTTCCCGGTGAAGAGATCGGCTGTCATGGGGTCAACACCCTTGGAGCCGGTCGCGAACTTATACCCAAAGATCATAATGAGGTATAGAGGGATACCGAGATAAGCGGTGATGAAGTTCTTATAGTCGAAGTTTCCGTATGTTTTCGGGTTGTGGATGAAGACGTCAAAGTTCTTCGTGAAAGCGATGAGGATGCAGAATCCCAGAGCGAAGTATGAGCCTGCAGCGCCAAGGGGGGCCTTGTAGGCCAAGCTTTCCTCGGGAATGCCCTGGGCTTTGCGCGCGCGCACGAAGTAGATGTGGGTGACCAGGATGGAGATCCAGGTGAGGAGACCGAAGATGGTGACAAGGTTCACGAAGTACTTGAACACAGTTTTGGAGTCGCTGCTAACGTTCATGTAGCCCAACAAGGCAATTATGGATGAGATAGCCAGTGCTGGGACGGGGACGCCGCGGCGGTCGGTGCGCGCGAAGATCTTGGGGGCTTTGCCTTCGCGGGCCAGACCGTAGATCGTACGGGTGGCGATGTACAGGTCGGAGTTGGCTGCTGAGAAAACGAAGAGCAGGATACAGGCGTTCAGGATATGGGGCAGGACTGGAATGGCGGCCAGCTGGATGGCGACCACGAAGGGCGAAGCTGCGGCTGAGCCCTTTTTCTTGTTGCCGTCTGAAAGGGCGAAGAGAAGCTCCGGGGAGTTGTACGGAACGAGTGTGCCAACGAGGAGCACACTTGTCACGTAAAACACCAGGATTCGGTAGAAGGTCAATTTGATTGCGCGAGGGATCGTCTTGCGGGGGTTTTGTGCCTCGCCGACCGTCACTCCGACTAGCTCAGTGCCCAGGTAGGCGAATGTAGCGGACACCATCGTGGACCAGAAAGCCAAGAATTGACCAGGTGCGCCTTCCATCTTGTAAGCGTTGAAAGCACCTGGGGATTTCCAGTAGCGGAAACCCTTGCGGTCATGGTCCGGCCCGCCACCAAGCATGAGAATGAAGGATAGGAGGATGATGCCGAGAATAACAATGACTTTGAAGGAGGAGAGCCAGAACTCGAATTCACCGAAGAACTTCACGCCGAAGTAATTGATGGCGACGACGATAACTAGAAAGATAGTAATCCATACTCCAGCATTGACCTTTTCTGTGGGTATCCAGTATGATATAACCAATGCACCGGCAGTCATTTGATTTGGTGATAGAATGATGTATTTGAACCAGTATCTGGAGTTGTGTTAGCGAGGTCATCTCAAAGGGAATGAATGGCTTGTGCATACGTCCAGCCGAGGGTGAAGCCAAGCGCAGGATCAACAAATCGGACGGCGTAACCAGTGAAACCAGAGGGCAATGGCAGCCAAGCCGCCATCTCTCCCAGAGCGCACATAACCAGGAAAACGATGAAACCAACCCAAGCATAAGAAATGAGGATTGCGCCGGGCTACCTAAGTCAGTATGAAGGTTCTGGGGTCAATTTCGGTGTAAACACTCACGCCAGCCCTGCACGAAATTTGGTTAGCCTGGAATCTCAGAATAAACTGTTTAGGGAAACCAATCGTCACTTACTTTGCAAGAGCTTCTCCCGTTCCAATGATCAAACCAGTACCAATAGCACCACCGATGGCTATTCACTATCAGCGCATGCTCGTGTCCGACTCAGAACTGCGCCTACCAATCATAGTAATATGTCTCGCCTTGAGCGCACGGTGCAGCTCAACATGGTTGGGGTCGTTCAGACCGGCCTGAGCTTGCTCAATCTTGCCATCCTCACTGAACTCCCGGTCCGCGTATTCCTCGCCCTTGATAGACTTCTCCATTGTGTGTTCGACGCGCAGAGGTTTGCGCTGACGAGGGAAGAAGCCCGGGTGAGAGATAAGAGTAAGCTTAGATGTAAGACCAGGAAGATGAGGGGGGGGAGAGGAATTAAATGGAAAGACAAGAGCGGAAAGTACACAGCCCTTGTGAAAGATAAGCAGTGGAAAAGCAAATCGCAGACTTAGTGAGCCCTGGAGGAAAACCCCAATTAAATAAGATAAATAAGATACGAGACCTTGGGAAGACCTCGGGGCTTCCAAGTCTAGCCAAGGCTTTGCATTTCACGGGCTAAAATAATTTACCCAAACACACCTCAGACCATACACCTGCATAGTTCACGCTTAGAATCCTTCCCGCAGGGTTTCATCCGCGATCTGACGGTTTGCCGTTTCCGGTTTGCGGGGAGCACTGGTATAATAGGGCTGTGCTCATTGAATAGGGCTGTGTTCTTGGTTTTTTAATGAGGCTCTGGATCACTCAGATACAGGGACATCTTCAGCATAATGCAGGTGATTACTGTATACATATGTCCCCTGTGTCATCGATGTCCGTTTCCTAAAGCTTGATACCCAGGTACATGTATGTAACAGATACTACTCCAGGGAACACATCAAAGCGGAGATATTGGCGCCAAGATTGGACATTTGGGGCTTTGTGGGGAGCGCTTTTCATCGGCATTCGTCGGAAAATTTTAGGTTGCCCCATTCCCCCAGATTTTCGCTGATATGGAGCTTTGCAGTCATTTATGGTATTTACGGATACGAAGTACGCACATTAGAATCCAATATTTACTACAGAGTCGGCATCGAAAAAGCACCCGGGCAAGAAAAAAAGTAATTCCCCGGGGCAAACCCATTTGACTCAGCCACCAGATAGCATTCGCGGAAAGTGCCCTTATCAAGCCTGACCCTTAAACAGTGTTTACAACCTTTGCCAAGACGGAATTCCACCTTGGCCCGTGAACGCTAAACTTAACCCGGTCGAGTTGTGCCTCTTCTGAGTCTGGTTATCTGTGCCAAGACCGCTCGCGGATGGTGCAGCCAATCCTTATCTCTCTTGGCGGGTGCGCACGTGGCCTGGTCGTATCAAGGTTCATCTATGGCGAGGGATTTATGCGGTATTTTTCTGGGAGCTTGGATTGCGGCGAGGCTTAAGGATTGCCCAAGTGGCTTTGGCGTCAAGGCTGCGCAACACAAAATAAATACGAGGCGTGTAGTTCCCTCGATCTCTACTCCGTACTCCGTTCCTACGAAACATATTCCGTACATACTTCATAGTTCTGCCGAAGAGGTCAATCTTCTTCGCTTCTTCGATCCTCTGTGTGTCAACAAGTTGTCATGGTGCTTATGCGCTTATCTCGAGCTTGTTCGTAGGCTGCAGCAGTGGAGATGCCGAGCATAAATAGCAGATTTTTGCATCCTTTCCGTCCCCGTTTTATACTTTCCTGTGCACCGGTGAATGTCCATATGCACATCTCTCTGAGACAAGGCTCGATAGAGGAGGTAAATACCAAGGCTGATCGAACTTGGGGCAGTCTCAAGAGGAAAGAAAGCCTGGTAGCTCCACTTGTTGGGATTTATAGCATGGGCATTTCGAACAATATGGATAAGTAGCGACGCATCGATATTGAATACCTGAAGACACATAAGAATTCTCGCTTTCCGGTGAAGACTCGGCTGCTACAGATAAGCATTCTATTGATCTCACGGGGCCCTGAAGATACATGGCTGGTATTTCGGCTCGGTGATCAGCCGAAGGAGCATGATTTTGGGATGAATAGCACGGAGGCTGTGTCCCAATTTTGCACGTGTGAGGTCTCGGGGACCCATAATCTGAAATGGAAGGCCATACTATGGAAGTAGTGCTTCCAGCGATGTGATTTATAGCCCAGACGAAGAAAGAATATGAGGGTCTCCTGAATTCAGAGAACCAACAAGTGAGAAAGAATATGGAGGCAGAAAAGGAGTTTCAGCGGTGGAAGGCCTGGGCTCGTCATATCGAGTTGGAGAGCGAAAACAATATGATCGAGCCGGGGCCGATCCAGGTATTCAGGCAATGCCAAAGATTAGAGTAAGCAGAAACTTGCGCTTGCTGGACATTCATATGGAATAATGGAGCAAATTAAGCTCAATTTAGGTGACGACGAGACGATCTAGAGCATGCATAGCTGACGTGGAGGACAATGGCCCAACGAACTAATACACCCACAAGCCAATCAGGCTTTAGTTGGGTCACACCGACACAAAAAAGGAGGCTCTTTGTAGGAATCTGACAGGATTCAGCCTCATGAAAATGCCCGAAGAAACGAAGCTATGGTTAGATCGGTTATTCATTCGTCCAGAATCAAGGATCACAGATGCAGTTTGCGACCCATAGCGCTTCGATGCATTGCCAGCAACGTGGCTTTGCAAAGGTGGAATCATGTTACCTCATAAAGAACCACTTTCGAGGGGGTGTGTAGCCACCATATGCAGGTCTAGCGCAGTCGGCTTGAGGGAACAAAGGGTTTGGCTGGGTGCTGCCTCTCACATGTGGGAGTCAGCCGCTGGATTCAGCCTCGTGGGAGCGAGGCATATCCCGGGTTGGGTGGGCTAAGGGTGAAATAGTGGCGATGGGTCCATCTTGTTGCATTAGGGGGACTGAATGGAGGGGATGGCTCGTATTTACTTTGTTGACTTGACTAGGTGGCACCACCGAGAGGACATACACAGTGGAGGCCTCTGTTGTTCGACAGGTACAGTTTATGGTATATGCAGTGATTGAGGGGAACTGAGCCAGTTAACATCTCATAATATCCGCTGCCACTTCGAAGCTAGTGCAAGCTACCGTTATCAAACCAAGTCCCTGAGGGAAACATGTCCAAAGCTAGCAGCTGGGAGACACTCTCAGCCTGTCGATGAAAGTCAATATTACCAACACTCTGGATGGTGGAAATGTGATCAGGGTGTTTAGGTGGGGGCCATTTGGTGTGCAAATCCAAAGCCTTGAAAATGTGCTGTGGCGTGCATAAGTGCGTTAGGGCAGCGATCAATGGAGGTCGTTTATTGGGTGGTGAACGCCGCAGCGGTTACAAGAGCTTTTATATATTTATCCCGCTGATCGGAGGATTATGATTCGTGCAATGAAGATGGAATTTACTATCATTAGAATTATTAAATAGGAGTTAATTTGACAGTCTTCCATGTTAAGACTTGAGGATGTGCGGGGGAATTGATTGTTGATTCTCCTGTCGTCCCCTATATCAGGGCCTGGCGGCAGTCGAGCATCGGGACTCTTCAACTTCCAGCTCTTAAAAAAGAAAAGGGGGATTTCCCCTACTTTGTGTATCGATCCCAAATCCCGAATAATCATCATGGGTGGCATGCGTCTCCCCCGCCCAACGGGCATCTATGTCCCCAATTCACCAAAAACCCTCACCAACGATATGATCTCTCCACCACTCTCCCCAGAATTCAGCTTCGACTCCGAGACCGTCACACCCACTCTAGTCCCAGCTCTGGAATATATCTCCAGTAAACTCCAACAAAGAATGATGCATGTCACCCTCCTCATCGGCCGCGGAAAGCCCTACCCGACCGGTCAGCCATCCGACCTAATGATCATCCCTATCCACACAATCGAGCCACAAGCATGGCGAGTACTTGAACGCGCCATTGCCAAAGGCTCGAAAAAGTTCTCACTCGGCCCCAGCTGGACGGACGCCATCGGCCGCAGCCAGTATGAGCGTCAGGCAAACGGTCATCTCGTCAATCAATCCATCCTCCAGAACGAAGTCATCTTCAGTCAGGAGGGTCTAACTCTCCTGAACATGGACCGTATCTATACCTTCAAGCGCCGCATGTGTATCCTCTCTGCCCGCCCCTTCTCGCGCAACGCCGAACAATCAATGTCATCCTGCGTACGGCTACTCCACCGCATCGTCGCAGATTTCTCCGGTCGCCCCTTCAGCAAAGCTTTCTTCCACCGCGTCTATGAGCAGCTTGATGTAACAGACGAGCAGCTCACTGCCGTCGCAGTCGCGTACAAGAATGTCCACAACCAGGATGCTATCATCCTTCCCGTCCAGCCTCCCGCTCCAGCTGCAGCTCCAACCCCAGCTCCTGCGCCAGCGCCAGTTCCGCCCAAAGTCGAGGCCGTTGTTCCAGCGAAAGCTAGAGCAAAGGCCCAGGCTAAAGTACAGCCAAAGGTTCAAGCGAAAGCCCAGCCCAAAGCTGAGCGCGTCATTTTGAAGCCCAAGGCTGATCCCATTCCTATCCGGGTGAAGGCGGAACGCCCTCGTGAAGTGAAGAGATCGCCCATCCAGACTGTGCGCGGTCGAAGACACCCTCCGCTGTCGATGCGAGGGCACAATAAGCGCGGGCCCAAGACGCCTCTTTCTGCGTCGGATGTTACCCCAATCACGCGGAATGAGTGGAATATTGTAAGCCAGGATATTCGCATGCAACCTAGGGTTACTAAGTGGACTCCGTCGCCGACCGTGCTGGCCGCTGCTTGAAATTGACTTCTGGATTCGCTTGATGCACAAAGCGATTTGCTGCTAGATCTATCACGAACCCCGAACCTTGCTGAGAGGTTTGGGTCGCGCTCATAGCTCACATGCCATCCCCCGTGCATGTTGGGTTTGGTTGAGCTGAACCATGAAGACACAGATGAGAACTAGATCTAGCCCGTGTTGCTAGATCATCTCTAGGTCTTCCCCGTGTCTGATTCCACCAAAGCTGGACCTTACTAGGCCATTTTGGCGATGGACAGATTGGCCAGGCTTGACATACTGGGTGCAAAAAGGACCCCGGTATCTGGACTGGCGCTAAGACCTCCTTGGCACCCTAACGATAATATGATAATGATTTAAAAGCTTTTCATAGCGAAGCTTGGCAGGAAATTTCAAATGTTCCGAAATTCAATTCACATGTGTATATAGTTAGTTCACCTTTTGGAAGATATCAATACGAATTTTAATGAACCAATCAGACTACATCCTAATATCCACGTAGAATCACAGCCAGCGGACCGACAAAACCGAAAATAAATCAAATTATCCACAGCCCTATATCAAAAACTGAGATGAATGGGCATCCTCTAGGACTAGTTTGCCGAGTAGCCATACATGGCCCCGCTTAAGCTCGGCGACCGGCGAACTGAGACAGCTACCCACATGTGCACCCAATCATAGGCACGGGAAAGGAGTTATAGTGGGTGTCGAATTTTAAAATCAAAGTATTGAAGCTACTGACACATGGGAATGTAAGTTGTGAATAATTCAGGATGTCTCCTATCGGCATCGGAACTCGCCGTTCCACTATCCATACAACATAGTACACCGCACCATAGGCATTATGGATGGGATGTGAGCATTCATGTCATTTCCAAGATTCAGACAAAATTCTGATCCAGAATCCTACATGTACACGAAGGGGGAAAGCAATAGTACATAGATGGATGTATGCAAGGCTTGGCAGAGTCGGGACTTGGCGGGGTTATCTAAAGTTTAAGAGCTGCAGGGCTGCGTATAAGAACCCCTCTTCTGTCTTTTACAGCCTTTTAGGTTCAATTGAATATCATTTCTCCGAAATCTAGATATTCTTATATCTTAGAGAAATTGCTGAAATCCACCATGTCGGGGTTCAATGGGCTCGCAGATACAGACTCGCGCGGTCTGGACAGTGACCACAAATGGAGCTTGCAGCCTCTTCTTCGCAGTGCTGAGCGCTCGCATAGCAAGATGCCCGGTATTAGAAAGATTCCTCTTCGCGCCATTGGAATTATTGCGTTTATTGCGTTTCTGAATATCATAGTTTGGGTGGCGGCGGCTATTGTGCTGGTATGTTTCGATAGGTCGTGTGACATTGGATTGATTCGCTAATGCTTCTATAGAGTTATCATCCGTGAGTCTCCATTATCGATATCTCATAGCCTAAAGGCTATTTTATATACTAATTGCACGGAATGCAGTTCGCTGGTTTCTACAGCTGCCCTTGCCTATTCTCTTGGATTGAGACATGCGTTCGATGCGGATCACATTTCCGTATGTTAAATCCAGTTAGGAAACAGATCAAATAATTAACAATGCTATTTATAGGCTATCGATCTAATGACCAGAAGACTCCTGGCCACGGGGCAAAAACCCGTTACCGTGGGCACGTTCTTCTCGCTTGGCCACTCAACGTGAGCACAGTCACCTCATTCTAGTTATATCAAATCGAATCTAACCCAGTTCAGCATCGTGATCATCACATCTATTGTCGTCGCAGCCACAGCAGCAGCCGTCTCAGAGCGCTTCGACAGCTTCAGCACGGTCGGTGGAATCATTGGCACCTCCGTCAGCGCCGCCTTCCTGATCCTTCTTGGCCTTATGAACGCGTACATCCTGTATAAGCTCGTGAAGCAGATGCAAAAGGTCTTCAGTCTCCCTGAGGGCCATGAAGATGAAGCGTGGAAGATCGAGGGCGGAGGAATCCTTTTCTCGGTCTTGAAGAAAATGTTCAAGCTGATTGACCGGTATGTTCTTTGGTCAAGCTATTCATGCTCCGCATTGCCTGACAAATGTGCTATTCTTGTCTAGTCCATGGAAAATGTATCCTCTCGGAATTCTGTTTGGTCTTGGCTTCGACACCTCCTCCGAGATCGCTCTACTTGGAATCTCATCCATCGAAGCAGCGAAGGGAACATCTTTCTGGGTGATTCTTATTCTCCCGGCCCTATTCACAGGTTAGTATCCTCATCTGCGAGCCAATCAATTTTCTCCTTCAGCTTTGCTAACGCCTCCCAGCCGGTATGTGTCTTCTCGACACGATCGACGGAGCCCTGATGTTCTCTCTCTACATCCAACCAGCGGCCAACTTCCTCCCACAAAAGCCAACAAGTACCATCTCAGACACCTCATCAACAGCCACGGATCCAGACGAGCTCCCACAATCGCAAAACAATCACCGCGACCCAGTCGCATTCCTATACTACTCAATCGTGCTGACCACGCTAACCGTCATCGTGGCGATTGTGATTGGCGTGATCCAGCTGCTCACTCTCATCCTGAACGTCACAGATGCCAAAGGTAGGTTCTGGGATGGCGTGCAGGTTGCTGGTGACTATTACGATGCTATTGGCGGTGGTATTTGTGGTTGCTTTATTGTCTTTGGTCTACTGAGCGTTCTAGTCTATAAACCATGGCGCAGATGGATGGATCAGCGCCATGGGAAGCATGTCGTCAATGATGTGGAGAGATATACTGATGACGATGTTTCTCGTGGCGATGTTCCTGGCTATGGTGCCATTGTGACTGAGACGGGTACAGCTACTGAGGCTGGGAAGGGGGCTTCCTCTCGGGTCGCTATTAAGGAGACTGGTGAGCCGAGACTTGAAGACCACATCGTGTAGTTGTTGCTACATCCTAGCTAGTATAAGCTAGTTGCTATTCTTGAAATGAAAGTCTTCTTAATACCCATATATCTTTCATCGCGTAGACTCCACAGGTGGTATGTACCTAAGTAAGCATCTTCCAAGGCAGGGAAACTACTGCCTGAAGGTTAAGGTGAGTGTCTCTGTGGGTTTACCCTGGTTCCTTCCCTTTTGGTCAAAACTCGTCGCCAACCCCAGTTTCCCCATGTCCTTCAGCCACTGGGAAGGTATAAATACCCCCCTCCCCCCATTTCTCTCTCTTCTCCTTTCTTCCTCCTTCACATCTCTTCTTTTCTCTCAGACTCCACTTCCAGTTTTCAAGGTTTCACCCTCCATCATGGTCACCTTCCACCATGACCCCATCCACCATGGACCTTCCTTCTTTGTTATGCCCCAGGACTTTCCATCATGACCCCATGCACTATGGACCTCGGACCTTGGCCCCATCCACCTTGGACTTTCCATCTCTGCCATGCATCAGGATATTCCACCATGGTCACCTTCCACCATGGTCACCTTCTATCTTGGTCATGCCTCAGGACCTCCAATCATCACACCCGTGGACCATCCACCATGACGACTGTCCACCGTGGTCACCTTCCAATGTGACCTCCTTCTCCCCCAACCTCTACCTTCCAAGCTACTGTCACGAGCACCTTCACTGCTGCGTTTGATCTCCACAACAGGTGAGAACTCCAGCGTTGTCAACCCCCACGGTTCCTTTGGCTTAGAATGAGTGGAAGACCTCACCAGGCCATTGGCTGACGCAGGGAAACTTTTTCTCCTCTGCCTTTTAGGGATTTCTGCCATGAAGTACATACTGGACGCGCAAAAAAGAGAATCCAGCCAGCATGAACCTCCGATGAGGTCCAAATCGAGACGAACTCGACTCGAATCTGCGAGGCCAAAAGACAAATACGACTTACTCAAATACGAAATATGGTCACATTTCACTATGACCTCTGTCTACCGTGACCACATCCATGGATGGACCTTCCACTTTGGCGATCCAACATCCAACAAGACCTCCAGGGCTTCCGCCATGGACCTTCCACATCTACATTCAAGTATCATCATTGAAGCACCCACATTCGACCATCCGCATTCACCTCCACTCAACCACCTCCAGCCTTGCCGTGACGGGTTTCAGCTTCAGAACAATCGGCGGGCTTACAACGATAGCAAAGGCAAAATCAAAATCCAAAAAAAGAAGAAGAATGAATGACAGAAAAAAAAGGAAAAAAAAAGAAAGAAAGAAACAAGACGAAAGAAGCAAGAAAAAAGGAACACAAAAAAAAGAACAAAGCCTCGAACGATTTCAAGTATCCCCATTCGATCATCCACATTCCAGCATCCACATTCAAGCACGCACATTCAGCCATCCACATTCAACCACAGAATGCTTCAACTTTAAAGAGGGGGAATGAAAAGAAGCGGTCTTGAACGATAAGAGTCTCCGCAGGAGGGTCTCTGAAGGAGGCTGCTCAGAAGAGGTGACAGCGGGCCCAATGAAAGGAGACTC